ATGCTCAGTTGCAGTATTTCTTCTGATAGGACCCTGTGTCTAGGCACTGTTTATCCTCAAATCTTGAATCTCAGGCAAGTTCACACACAAATTACTCCTTGTCCTCGGCTTTTGGAGTATTTACAGATACAGAGGCAGAAGACTGCAAGAGAAGACTCTTCCCAGGTGGAAGACGGTTCTCCTTGGAGCAGTTGCAGTTTCGTGGGTTATGGCAGTTTAACCGGGCCAAAACATGCAGACTGAGGCTTTCGTTACTGTAGAGAAGTCATCTACTCAAACACAATAATCATCTTCAGATGATGCAAGTACTATGCTATGGCCGGTGTGATGGGTTGGACCCAGCCTGCAACGAGCGCCCGCACAGCCCAACAGCCCCAGCAGGATGAGAGAAAATAGGAAGGATGAGAGTGAGAAACCTCATGGGTCAAAGTAAAGACAGGGAAATCCCTCACCCATTATTGCTGTGGGTAAAACAGACTTGGCTTGGGGAACTGAACTTAAAACATTTAAATGCCAATTTGGGTATTGGGAACCAAAGATGACAAAGATGTAAACAGGCTGAGAAAACCCCTTTCCTCCTGTTTTCTCATACTCAGGGTCACTCCAGCACCTCTCCTCCCGCCCTCCTGGTCTCCACTGCCTCGCTGTCCCAGCAGGTTCCACCCCAGCCCTCCGGCCAGGCAAAAGGCAGCGCAGGGGTTGCAGTCAGGGCAGAGGTGTTGCTCTCTGCTGCTCCTTGCTTCTCATGGGTTTCCTCTGCTCTGGCAGAGAGAACAATCCTAATGCTAGCATGTCATGTCTATTTTACTTAAATTTAGCATACGCTTTGACAGCAAATATGCATTTATGCTTTCTGGACCGATAGAGACCATGTAACCGATAACCTCACAGCTCGTACATGCAGAATGCATGTAAGCCTTGTTTGTCTTCTCTGCGTTTTCTTCTCATTTCTTTACCTGCTCAGCCATTTCTTTTGTATGGCATTAGGATTTAGCTGGTCACCTTTCAATTGCAATGTCCTCTTTAAGCACTGGGCAGCAGAGACCCCCCCTTGCCCCCCCAAACCAACACTAGGTAATAGCAATAACGGCTGAATCCTGGCATTGCTTGGTCATGACCTTGATAAGTACCATCAAACATAGAGGGTTTAAGTGATTTTGCACATTGCAGAAGTCCACAGATGGCAAAGTAATAGTGCCTGGCTGCTGAGGAAAGCAGCAAATGTCACCTGTTTCTTACATTAGCAGCCAGTGAATTCTTGTGCAAATATTATATACCTACCATCCTGGCAGCAGGTGAATATTTGTAGGTCCCGGGAGACTAATCTAGTATTACTATAAAATCCTGCTGTGAAACCCAGCAAAAGTGTTACTTGACAAAAAAAAAAATTAAAAAAGCTAGACATATTGGTCTTTATGTTAAAGTTATTTATCCTTCTACAGAAGAAGTGTCCGCTGTTTCTTAGAAACCTAAAGAGTCTCTGCATTGAGCTTGTAAGTTGCTTGCTGTAGACCAGCCTATAATTACAGACTTGGAATAGCAAAAGTATTTTCAGGATCTTCAGTCATGCCTAGGTACACCTCTAATCATGACTGGGGTAAATACTAAGGACAGAAATTTCTGTTGCTTTTTAACTAATGAAATTAATTTTTTTCCTGCTTGAATAAAAAAGGAAACAAAGCAGGTATTGAAATTAATGTACTCGGTGCAATAGGCAAAGTGTAAGAGTCCAATAACCTTACTACTCTTGCTTTCCCCTATTGTTTCATCTAAGTTTTGACTCAGCATAACGTACAGTATCATAAAATACATCTGAAAGACAAATGGAGGGAGAAGCAGATTTCAGCTCTCTTACCATAAAACCTTGTGTTAATCATTATAGTGAGGACAAGCGATCTTCTTGACAGCAGTCTCAGTACTCCAAAGCACTGGCTGACACGGATAGGCTTCTCTCATCTTCCATGCTGTGACTTACCACGTTACTTGACAAGAAAAGCTCAGGATCCCTTCTTCCACTGATACTCTTCTTTGTGTCATCTCTGTTATTTTTATAATTCTGGCTCATTTCATTGGCCTTGAAATTATTTAGCTTTGACATGCACCACCGCTTTTGACGCAGTTAATCACATACAGGCTCTTATCTGGAAGATGAAACAAGCCACTGGACTGCACAAGGTAGGTGACATACAGTTTTTGGAGTGATGGTTTACAAATATTAAATCCAGCCTCAGTTAAGTGTTTTTCTCCATCACTTTCAATGGCAACTAGATCATTTGCATAAATCCTTACTCTATGAAACAACTTAACATTTTAACCCCAAGATTACCTAGTAATTTTACTTTCAGGATGACTGATTGTAGAAAGCAGCACTACAAAACCAGAAGGGAAGCGTATGTGTTTAATAGCATGGAACTTTGGTGCTATTTTGCGTCTTCAAAACGCTCTATGGGTGTATGAAAAGGCATGTTCATCACCAATGATTCATCACAATTTAAAGTTAACCATAAGACAGTTAATTAGACTGGTTTGTTTCAGGTATTTGTACAGCTGCAAAGAAATCGTATTACGAAGAAATACATCTGGAAGTCTTGGCTTCAGCATCGTAGGAGGTTATGAAGAACATACTGGGAACAAACCATTCTTTATCAAATCCATTGTTGGGGGAACACCAGCATATCATGATGGCAGAATTAGGTAATGGTAACCATCTAATGAAAAGTACCATTTAAGTAAGTCTTGTGTCTAGATCATTTGTTGGTTTTTTGGTGTGTTGTTTTTTTTTTTTTAAACAAGTTTTCATGAAGACAGTGTAGGGGGAGAGAAGGAAAAGACTCATTGATACAGAACTAACACTGACAGATCTGGAAATCGGCCATAAGCATCCTGAACTTCAGTAGGTTTGCCTTCATAGTAGAATGTTTTCAGATGTCTAGCAATCACTAGTATATGAATAAGTGTAAGGATAAGTCAAGTTTGATTTCTGGGGTACTACAAAGCATGCCAGCACAGAGAAGCTTTCCCACATCCCCAGCTCAAAAAAACCACCCCAATCCACCGACCAAAAACCTTCTCTGCAAACACCAATACAATTTAAGAGAATAAATGCAGAATTACAGAGCAACTTAAATCAATTAAGAAGTCTTAAAATGTAGTTTGTTCAGAACACAGATCATTCCCATCTGAAAGAACTATATCCTATTTTCTTTCAAATATGTCTAATTAATTATAAAGTTGTAAGGAGAAAAAAAAAAAAAAACCAAGAGAAGTATTTTCACCTGCTTTATTCCCTTATTCATAAACAGTAGTTAGTCAAAGAAGGAATAGTAATAGTCATTTCTACCCCTACCTCCCAGCTTAAGGACATGCCTCGGTATTTGTAAACATTTAAGATGAGAAGTCACCTTGTTTAATTGTTCCCTTCACATTTCATTTTCAGATGCGGTGACGTCCTCCTTGCTGTCAATGGCAGGAACACATCAGGAATGATGCATGCCTGCTTGGCAAGGATGCTCAAAGAACTGAAAGGAAAAATTACACTCACAATTGTGTCCTGGCCTGGCACTTTTTTATAAAACAAGTCTTCATGGAGAGTATAAGTAATTTAACACAGAAGAAAAAAAGGAACACCAGTCTTTGATTTTTTTGGGGGGTCAAGTATAAGTTTATAAAGAAAAGGTTTGTGAAATTTCAACCTGCCTGTCAAGAAAAGTCAAGTTTGGGCAAAGCAGGGACACCCGTCAGAAAATCACTTGAGCGATTTAAGCTAGACTTAAGTCTTTCCTTCCTGTGTTCTTAAGTTTTTTTGTTGGTTTTTATATATATATTTAATGCATTATAACAATAATGAAATTTAAGGAGCAGCAGCTCCTGCTCACCCACTTTATTTTGATTTACAAAAAGAAATCCTTGAATAACTTATGGAAAAATTTCTGGCAATTTTTCTAGTTGCAAAAATCAGGTGAAGGTTTTTATCCAACCTGTTAATAGCACTTTGATTTTGTGTACCTTTTCATGGGCAGCATGAAGCTGGTATTTTCAAGACTTTCAAGTACTGTTTGTTAGTCTGTAAAACTGTGAATTAAATTTCTAAAATAATTAAAAATAACTGTAACTGTGTACTTGTACAAACATTATTTTCATCCGAAACCAAATAATCTAGTTTCCCTGGTATGTTTTGATTAATACTATTAAATCTAGGATTTTTATACAGATTTCTTGTTTTTAAGGAAGTACATTGCACCCTGCTAATACCATCAAGTAAGCCTTCTAAATAACACCCTGACAGGGCAGTACAATTTTTGCAGGACTGCCGTGCCAATCACACTTGATACTGTTATGGAATGAGTAAATGTAAAAGCGATGACAGTCTTGTATTTTTTTTTAAAATAGTTCTTTGCGTTTCTCTGAAAATTACTCATGTTCCAAAGTTTTTTTTTTTCTCCTCACAAGATAGCAATGGGAAGAGGGTATGTTTGTTAATCTTTATCATGTTAAGGACAGCTGTTCCCCCAGAACAAAGACTAAAATGAACTTTCTCTTAAGCTGCTGAAAAGCAGCAGGGATGATTATCCAGCTTAATTCACCCTTATGCACCCACACAAACCAGACATAATTACCAAGTGTATCATCACCACACTCAGTGATTCACCAGACTAAGAACAATCAGCACCTTTTCCAGTTTCCCTTATTTTTTTTGGTTTCACCTTACTACAAGGTTCTTGAAGAGTGTGCAATTCCGGCCTGGCAGTAAAGGATGACCTTTTCAAATATGAACTCCACAAGCTATACTAAACCCACACTGTTCCAGATGTTGGTATATAATAAAGTGAATGCGCACTGTTTCTAAAGTCAGTAAAAGACTGACCTTCCCACCGGCTTATGAAAAAAGGATACAATTTAATACAAAGAATTTAAGCCCTATGTATATTGTAAGCGCATAAGCCTCTAGCTGTAAGATGTTTTCTCACTGCTTCTTAAAAGACAAAGTCAGTCCAGGAATCTTAACATGAAAAAATCATTTTTTTTATTTTCAAAAAAACCAAAGTAACCTTTGATTTCAAACTAACAGAACAAGACTAAGAGCAAATTATTTTAATACCCAGAAAAATAACAAGATTTATAGTAATCTATTTCTGGCACTAATATATATGCAAGTAGGCAAAAAAAATCACACAAGCCTATTCCACAGTGGCAGCTTCAGTGTTTTCCTGTTCAGGAGCAGGTTCACTGCTGGCTTCTTTTCCTTCTTTGCTTCTTTTGGATTTTTTGTGTTTGTGCCTTCTGTGGCTGTCCCCTTCTTCACTGTCATGACGACGTCTGCTGTTACTGAAATAGAGAAAAAAAATACCTCAAACAATTGCATGACACTTCAGGCCCCATTTAATTACAGAATACCAATAAAACAGCCTTTGCATTCATATTTGAAAACTGGCACCTGCTTCTGTTCCAACCCATATAATAGTTGGATGTCAGTGGCAAACAATTTTTCATGGACAGGTACATACATCCACCTATCCAGTACTTTTTGTTGGGAAACTGGAATGATTTTTCACATTTGCAACCCACATTCTAATAGTAATACTTTTAATAAAGTAATGTCCTACTGGCATCCCTTAATGGTTTAACATTCTTATATTGACCCTGTTCCCTGGACTTAACGTTTATTTCTAACTCAAAAAGGATCAAGTTGAACAATTTCTATCAAGTGACCATGAGGGTTATTTTACTAAGAATCACTGTTGAGTTCTTACGTTAATGCTGCCGAATGTCAGCTTCACTCCACCTCTTTCTGACCCACCATTTTTACCCTTCTTTCCCCAAATTCATCATTTCTGTTCACTAGCTAAGACTGTCACATACATCACCCAACATGAAGTTACCCAGGGCCAACATTGTTTTTTGTCTGTCCACATTCAATATGGCAGACTTGTTCCAATTAGTACATCTAAGCGTTTGCAGTCTTTTCACAAAACTCCAGTTTGTTTGGGGTTCTTTTAAAAGTTTACTTTATTTTTCTAAACTGGTCAAGTCTTTCGTATCCTATTAAAAAAAAAATCTCAAACCTTCGAGATGACTTGTGTCTAGTCTCTTCCTTCTCTCTGTGTCTCCTTTCTCTGTGTCGGTCTTCTTTCTCTCTACTTGTTCTATGACGGTCATAGCCTCTTTCTGCATAGTCTCTGTATCTGTATCGTTCTTCATCACTGATTAAAAAAGAAGATATTTTTCAGGACCGTAACACCAAGCAGTATCTATATTAAAAACCCAAATTCTTACAAACTCTCAAGATAAATGACAGCAAAATCTTAATGTTGCTCTGGGTTTCTAAACAAGATCCACAAAGTATGCTCTTCACCTTACACGCTACACCCCTGTGGTTAATGCAATTTTGAAAGGAGATTGTTCAATAAAAATGGAAGGAAAAAAGAATACGACAGTGTCACATTAAGTTTACACAGGCGTTATCAAGCAGTTAGCTTAAACCTGTATCTAGCTGCAAATAAAGTACAATCCTGCATAAACTTTAGTAATGTTTTCAGATCAGTGTGTGTGTAACGCTCAACACTTATCAGCACACTTTTTGACTATTATATCATTTGGGTAAATAAAAATGAATTTTGGTATAGTTGACATATTTCGTTACATCAGCTTCAAGAAAGGAAAAGCTAGGTGCAAAGAGACCTGACAGTAAAATATACTCAATGTTTTCTGTTGCTTTTAAAATTATTTTCTTTCCAGTGCCAATGCTGTCTCTACTTCCATTCTCTTGGATTATGATGAGTGCTGCCCTGACACAATGCTGGTAACACCCCCTAAATATTACAGGCTATACAAGAATTTAAAGGCTTTACTTAAAACCATATTTTCATATTTTGACTTGGTGAAAAGGGCAGTTCTAAGAGTTCAGTAAAATTTAAAAAAAAAGATGAGAGCAGTATCTACAGTTAGCCAACACCATCAAATGCTACATTAGCATAGCTTAAAAAGGCATGATCATTTTATTGTTCCTCTACCAAGAAAATCCTACCCAGATATAGTGTCAGTATCATTTAACACAAGACTTCAATACAAATGAACTTACTGTAACTATTTATATATCACATGAATTCTGAAAGATCCCTACCAAGTCCTAAAGAAAGGCACAATGTGACCAGGATTTCTGAGGCACTAATTAAAATAGGTAACAATTCAGATACTATTAAGCTGACAAAAGCCAAGTGTTTCATGCTTTCCATCTTTGCCAACATTTACCATAAAAGAAAATCTCTTCCTGAGGTCCCCGACAGCAGCAGAATAGACCAAACACATCATGCAAGAACAGCTCAAGCCTAAAGAGAATTCTCATGTCCAGGAGTAGTGAGAACTTAAATCAAAACAATTTTATCTGCCATAAATTGGATCCTGTGGTCATTTCCCAAGTGAAGACATTATATTAGTGATTATTACAGCGATGCATTAAAACTCGGAGTGAGAAGGAGGAATGCCTGAAGCAACAGCACTAGTCTTTCTATGAAACTCTGTATGATTACATCATGAAGCAAATTTCAAAAATTACCAATTTAAGTCACTGTAGAGAAGCATCAAATACCCCACAGAAAAATCCTGTTTTTCTAAGGGACATTAAAAATATTCACAAATCAAGAAAACTACAGCTATTACTAAAGAACTCAAAGTTGTTACTCATACTCAGAGTAATATGACTGCATTGATTAGCGCCTGCATTGTTACAATATTTATAAGATTTTATAATACACTTATAACTACAGATCTGAGAGTAAGCTGATCAAATCCTGCAAAGTACATTTGTGACAGATGGCAGAATCACAGAATTGTTGAGGTTGGCAGGCATAACTGGAGGTCATTTGGTCTAAATCCCTGCTCAAGCAGGGCCACCAGGACCACCAGTTGCCCAGGACCATGTCCAGATGCTTTTGGGTATCTCCAAGGATGGAGACTCCACAGCCTCTCTGGGCAACCTGTGCAAGTGCTCAGTCCCCCTCACAGGCATCATGCCACTACGACTTCCCTTAACTATTGCCCCCCTCTTAAGAAAAAAAACCCAAAATTCAATTGCATTAAACACTTCTTTTTAAAGACTATTTTAAATCTAACATGTCTCTCCCACAAGAAAATCCTACAACAGAGACACATCAACTTATGAAAAATTAATGCAGTGCAGCCACAGCACATAAATTCTGATCATACTATTCCACAGACAGCTTAAAGCACCCTAAGGTTATAGTCCAGGCTGTGAAAATAAATTCATTTGCTCCACTGAGATGTCCAAAACCCAGATAGGTAACCTAAAGCAGTTGGAGGTGTCGGGAAGGGAGAAAATAAATCCCAGATCTTACAATGCTGAAACCTCAAGTCCTACGCCTTCAACTTGTTTCAATCTGTATTGATCATTTACCATTTTTTTTACCCTCAAGTTTCTACTCTTAGTATCAGGGAAAGGAGGGAAGTGTAGGGGAGACATTTACAATCCAAGTCCCTTTCTACTGAGCATTTCTTCTCATGGCAAACTAACTCAAGGCTTTGGGGAAAGGGGTAAAACCAGCAATCAGAAGAGTTTCCTTACCAAATGTCACAGAAAGATGAAGGCTGGTATCAACTCCTAGTTTCTAGGACAAGTCATACTCAAGAGATGACTAGCCTAGCTTACATAGCAGTTAGTTTTGCAATTCAGAATGATAGTCTTAATTTGAGTTTTGTTTGAAGTGTGTCTTAAAATTTGGTGTGTAATAAAGCAGCACCATAAAGACAGTATGTCTTTATGCCTGGCAAATTCTAGTTATAAAGCTCAGTTTTAGAATATAAAATAAAAATAAAAAAGTATAATGTTAAAAAATGAAATTAAAAACAGGTTCTGAAATCTACCTAAAGTTATAACCAAAGGTAAAGTCTGATTTGGACAACTGAAATTTTTTGTTAGACATGGGATTCCCATATTAATGCACCTTTAAAGTGCTAGTCATTAAACTAACTAGTCATCACAATTTTAGGAGCCTTACATTTCTGCAGGTTTGCAGGTATAGAAAAAGGTAGAACCAGTTCAACTACAGTTTATTCCCAGTATCCAATATTACTTCCCAGAACTAACATTTTGATGATCAGTATCCTATGAAAAAGTTAAAATTTGAATGTCTAACACTGCCTTCTGACAAGCCTGCCACAAGAAATTAGATGGCTACTTGTAGACTCACAGCTTAGTTTCAAAGCTGAGATCCAAAACCTTTAACATTAACCCAGAGTATGCATTTTCTCTGTTACACAAGTACTTTAAAACACTCTAGAAAAGGTTAAAAATATTATTGACACTCCTTTTTAAACCTTATTTTGGCAAACTACTAAGGAACCATGACAGCTTGTAAGTGTGTCTGAAAATAAACCACCTTTCTATAAGTAAAGCAAAAAATCAGTTTGCCAAGTCCAGTATGCTGGGAGCTTTCAGGAACAGAAATAAACGCCATCTACCCAGTGTTACACCAGTGATCTCCTCTCCATTTTGTATCTGGGCTTACACTACAGTTATCAAAGCCTTCCAGGGACAGCCTTGAGAGCACTACAACCTTTGACCTGTAGAAGAGGACTTACAGTTAGTTACCTGTGCCCTCCTGGCAAAGCCACCCAAAAACCCAGTCCAATCCAAAAAATCTTTGTTCACTACACCTTTGGGTACTTTTCCAAAACAGACTACAAGCTATTAACTTCACAATTCAGGAGGTCTCAGTTCGGTAGAGATGTCCAACTTCTGATACCCGTATTCAAAAAAACCTTCCCATGTATTCAAAAATCCTTCAGCAAAGAATCACAGAAGGATCTAGGCTGGAAGGGACTTTGTGGAGGTCGCTTGGACTAACCCCTCCTCAACACAGGGCTAACTTAGAAGTCTGGTCAGGTTGCTCAGGGCCTTGCTTAGTCAAGTTTTTAGTATCTCCAAGGCTGGAGATTCCAAGACCTCTCTCCACAACTTGTCTTACCACCTGATCACTCTTCTTGTGATTACCCTCCCCAATTGGAATTTCCCTTGCTCTGACTTCTAACTATTGCCTCTTGTCCTTCCTCTATGCACCCTGAAAAGGAGCCTGGCTCTACCTTCTCTATAACCACCCACTAGGTAGTTGAAAATAGCCTTTAAGAACCCTCCTCATTCTTCTCCTGGAGCTAAATAAACTCCATTCCCTTAGTCCTGCTAACCACCCTGTCAGACCTCCACTGGACTCTCCAGTCTATGAAGGTGTTCTTTTTCATATCAAAGGTCCCAAAACTGGGCCCAGGACTTTGCACATTGTATCAAGTACCAAATAAGAGGGGAATAGCAGCATTCTGCACCTGCGGTCTGCACCCTAATGCAGCTCAATGCTTTTTGACCTTTATCACACATTAAGTGCCGAGTTCCATTCAATTTGCTGCCCATCAGGAAACCAAGACCTTTCCTGTAAAGATGCTTTCTAGCCAGCGAGACCCTCATCTGCTCTGCTGCATGGGATTATTGGGTTCTAGGACCTTAGAAAACACAGTTGTTGGGTTTTGGTTTTGTTTTTCAAATTGCTGAGGAAGAACCACAAAGTGGTAAGGTTATCAGTCAAATTCCAAAGTTTACATTTTTAGTGGTAACTAATTGAAACTATCAAAACAAAAAACCCCATAGTCTTTGCAGAAGGGAAAACAGTCCAAAAAGAATGGTATCTTCTCAAGGGGGCAGAGTGAGATATATTGTAAAAATGCACAATTTCATGCGAGGATAGCAGAGTAAAGGTAGAACAGAATATAAAGACAGCTGAAGGTTCATTTTTAAACCACATTTTGGTTATACTAACAGAATAAAAAGAATTCCCATTTTCTTATAATTTTAAGAAATACTGTAGCACAAATACAGTCTATTTATCTGGAAAATAACTGCTAAAAACATTCAAAGCAGTAATTTCTGAGCAGTAAAACGCTAAAGATGACAATTACTCCAAATCCCACCACAGCGTTGCTTGAACAAAGTTTAAACAAAGAGAATTTAAGCAAAAGTAATGCATTGTGCAGTCTCTAAAACAGTTAATGTTATCTTCCTCATAGATCGTTTTGTTTTACTTTTTTGAGTGCAGAGAACTGAAAATAAACCTTCTTAAAAAACATTATGTCTGCATGTTCTGTCTTAAGCCTCTCCCACCTTCTCTGTGACTCCCAAACCAACTTACACTAGTTAAGGGCCTCCCGTTTTCTTACACAGCCATGTGGCAACAGCTTTGCTACAGATGGTGGATAATTTAGTCACATAAAAAAGCTGAGGCCTGCTCTTCCCCCTCCTTTACAGATAACTCTGGCAGCAGCACAGAGATTTCTCGAGGCCTGGAAGCTATTAAGGTTCATTTCAAGCACCCTTGAATGACCAGGCTTCTTTCTGGCCTTCAATCAAGCTGTCTGAGAAACAGATGTTTAGATTGGTCTTGAGTTCTCAAAACCTGACCCTGGAACATAGCACATGCACACAGGAGAGGACATCACCACATCAGCATACATGGAAAATCCCCTACCTTGCACCCAGTCTGGGTCTTCAGCTAACAATCATCATGCAAAAAATGTCATCTCTCAACTGAAGTAATGTTGGCTCCGGGTGCTCTCATTCCCCACAGCGTAAAACCATCGGTAAAAACAATCCGCCTAATAGCTAAGGTATATATTCTCCAAAAATTGAAACTTAATGAAAAACACTGAGAAAAGTATCGGGACGTTTACCCCAAAATACTTAGTAAATAATGAGCAAAGTAAATTTAGATAAATTTGGCAAACCAATAGACCTCTGCTCTATGGAGTCACAGCGAGCTCAACATTAAATGCTTTGTACTTGTGCACGTGAACCACAGAACAGTTGCAGCTTTTTTTTTTTTTTTAAAGCAATTAGAGAGTTGGAAGCCGAATAAAGTTATCTGTCATTATTTTAATCACCTGCCTGAAAATGAAAAAAAGTTCTTGACCTTGAAATAGTAGTTTTTTAAAAAGATGGGACAGATTATTATCCAGCCAGTGCTAATGACCAAACTAAGCATTTTAGGAGCAAATAACACCATTAATTGAGGTCAAATGTTGCATCACATTGCTCTTAGCACTGAATTGGCAACTAAGACTCATTTAGTACTTCTACAGATTTTTCTAGAACTACTGATGTCAAAGACAGCTGAGTATCTCACTCATACACAGGGCTTAAATCACACTTTTAACCTGTAAAGCAGTATGACATTTTGGATGTATACTGTCGTTTTTACACTTCTGTTTTACATTTAGAAATTTAATTACAGCTTCCAAAAGAAAAGGGGGAAGGGGGAAGGGGAGGAAGCCACACTCTCTAGCTCTTTGGAATATACAGCTGAACACTAAATTTTAATGTTGAAGTACCCTATTTAACACAGGCAGAGGGTTTTGAGTAGAGTTACAGCATGCTTAAAACATTTCACTAACCTGTTGAATACACTTGGAGTTGGACTGTGATCTCGGTCCCTTTCCCGGTCTCTGGTACGTTCTCGATCTCTGTCTCGGTCCCGGTCGCGATCCCGATCTCGGGACCGCTCTCTCTCACGTTCTCTGTCCTTCTCTCTTCGTGCATAGTAATCCCACTGTTTGCTGGTGTCCATAAGACTAGACCATGAAGGAGCAGAACCTGCAAGGTGCGGAAAGGTGACTAAAGAAAAAGACGTGGGTATTAGAAAGAACAAAATCAGATACCATATGAAAATTGTAATACTTATGCATGAAAACACAGACGTTTGTCAGCCTCCTCCAATGACATTTTTTCCTCCCCCTTACACATGAAAGTTAATTCTGAGCAAACTCTGCATTTTTTCCATGATGCCAATAAAGGCCTCTGGCACTTATTTAAATACTTGTTATGAAGATGTACAGAACCAGGATGTACACCACAAATACTGCTTAAATCCTTTTGAAAAAAAAGGTATGTATTCTGCAAAGATTTGCTGAAAAAATCTGATTTTACGTGGTCAAATGGCTTTGTTTTAGGGGAATAACAAATCAAAAACAACCAGAAAACAAAACTGCCTTTGAAACTCAGTGGCTCTGAAAGTACAGTTCAGAAAACCAAGGAAAAAGGATGCTTCCAACTTTCTATTTAGATGCTACTATTTTTATGTTTTGTCCTTTAAAATCATTGTATTTAAAATATAGTCTTAGGTACAAAGTTCTCATTCACTAATTTATATTCTGTACTGTGCTTTGCTATACTTTTCCGATTACAGATGTAACAGCAGCTTTAGAAATAAATTCCATATTTCATTCTGGGGAAAAGAAATAACGCTCCTACTTATGCTTTGTAAGATACCATTTCTAATGAATATTCAGCATAACCACTATTAAATGTAATAGCTTCAGAAAATTCAGCATATTATCTTCATCTAAAAGATGATACGCTTAGGAATTTAAGAAGGAAGTCATAACACAGTCTCACAGCCTTTTTAGGTAACCAGCAATGGGAAGAGAGAAGGGACATGCTTCTCCATTGCTTTCTGCCAACTCCGATGTAATAACTATTACTTTTAATGCCCCAATTGTTCTGTCCTGCCCTCCCTCTCCAGAAGTCCCGCGAATGCATCCTGTTCCTGAAAGCCAAGGGCGGCAGTATTTAACTGGAAAGAGCACTCTCTAGTGGACTTACAGTACAGAGGACTTCCCACTCTCTGCTTATCTGCTTTGCTAGCCAATGATAACATAGCCTTCAATAAATCGTTTGTTTTGAGCTCCACGTCATTATCTATAATATGAGAACAACATTCACTTGACTCCATGGTGGCACAAAGAGACATTAATAGTATAATTAACATAAATATCCATTGAACAATGCAAAGTGCATTACTGATGCTGTATTTAATACTGTCGAGTTATAAAACCAGTGGCTTCTGACAGCTATGTTCAAACTGCCTTGCCTACAACATCTGGGGTATGCCTGCCCTGAAAGCTTTGGCAGAAGCTTAAGACAGCAGTTTGCCAAGCATCCAAATGAGGAATACAAAAGACCTTCTGAGCAGGCAGTGGAGCAGGAAAAAACACTTCATTGTTAAAATACATTTGCAATGAAACACATTATAATTCTTTAAAGAAAAAAAACCCCAACATTTATACGAGGTTTTGCCTCTAACAAAATGCTTGACACTGTTTCACTTCAGGGCTACAGACAAAATGAGGAGCTAACAGAAAAAAAAGTAACCTAATACAATAGTATGTTGTTCATTATACTGCCAAAACCTGAAATTCTTCTAAGGAAAGCAGCCAGAAATAGCAAAATAACAGCTGGACTTTAAAGACTGCTAATTTCCTTGACTTGCCACTATGTCAACAATGTATGTATGGTCTACAAGACACTTGCTGCCAGAATATTCTGATCTAAAGTGTAAACTTAAGTTTAACTTTAAATGTATACTACAAAACAATTATTAATGGTAGTATAAACTTTCACAATAAATTTGGGTTACTCCCTCTCATCTGCAGTAATTCTCATCAGACAGAAGTATGTCATTTCCACCCCAAAAACATGAGATAAACCAGTTATTTGATACTCTGCCCATTTTTATATCTAGATTTTCACCAGTAATTATTCACGACATACAAGCAGCTTACTTTCTAATACAAATTGGTGTTCTGCATTTACTACCTAGAATGAAGTAATTTGTCACTTTTAGTAATTCTACATGGATTATTCTAATAATTCCTACAAAAAAGACAGACACTTCCAAAGTTGAAGTCTGATTTTATTTTTAAAACAGGAAGAGAGGGAGCTTTGAACAATCCATAGTTTTGGAGACTTAAGTCCTGTTTTGGAGATGGTTTAGAAATGTAAAGTTGCACAGTGTTATAGTACAAGGCAAACTATTTAATACATTTTCTTTGTGCCTCAAAAATACTGACTCTCAAACTGTTTCTGTAATGCTGTATTTCTTGCAAGTTTGTAAAATATAAAGAACATTCAGAGCACAGACCAGAGAAACGCTTGAGGAAAAAGTGGACAAGCATACAATACAAGCCGCTTCACTGGTAGACCAAACACAGTGCCATATACTGACAGGTCAATAAAATTCAAAGATCTGATAGCAAAGGTAGGACTGAATTGCAAAAGGATTTACGAGCAAATTGAAGAAGCTGCATTGATGCAGTAGAAGAGCACAAAGACAAAACAGACGTTCTTGAAGCTACAAGTTAAGAATATTATTTTGCTATGCAACCTTCCTAATAGGCTTGCAGTGGGAGACATATGCATGATGACTAGGGAAAAGACACCAAGGCACGAGATTAGCAATTTGAACAGGCAGAAGAAAGGCTAGAGCCTTAATCAAGATTGGTATTTTTCATAATGCATTCCACATGCTTATCTTCCCCCTCATTTTAACAAAGCCTTGAAACATACAGACTGGCAAAGTAGACAACAGGCTGGAGATTCAGTGCTGTCATTCAAAGCAACTATTAGATAAATATACTTAGCAATTCTTAATTAAAATGATCATCTGTACCCTACTGCACTGCAGAGTCCTCAATTTACCTAAGCTCTGACACACGGACAACACTAGTAAAATACTGGCCAGTTGTGACATAGCGACTGTTAAAGTAAGATGCTGGCCAGGAAAATATCTTTCATTAAGAGATAAACAACAGCAGTAAAATGCCACTGAGCCTCTACAGATCGAAAAATCCGTATGACAGGCACGGCTTAGAGACAGACAATTTGCTTTGTGCAGCAAATATGAAAGCTTTTGCCACAACAGGGATGCCAGATACCCTGGGAAGATGGGAGCAGACTGGGAAGATGGGAGCAGACTGTGCTCTTTGGTCTCCATAAACATACAAAGGCAAACGTAATTTTTTAAATCCCACTGAAGAACTTCAAGCTCAATGTTGGCATGATCACAGTAACAGTCATCTTTTGAATATTGGTACTGCAACAGCATAAGCGTGTCATCACCTCTGAAGGTCAACATAAAACTTGGAAATATTCTTGTGTCCCTGACAATACTTGACAGAATAGCAAATTCTAACAAAAGAGATGCCAAAGTGAAAAATATTCTAAGTTGGAAACTACATATTAGATACAATGTATGTACTAATGACTGTAAGATTGCTTTCCTTATGGTATCTGCATGGCTTTAGATGCTGAAGTTTCAGCAAAATAGCCACTTGGGTATCTTAGTTGTCTGCCTCACCTTTACATTTTTGCTAAAACTTCAGCAAACACAGTTCAATTATTGCTAAAAAAGTAGTTAGTGTAAAGCAGCTGTCTGGCCACATCAAGAATTCATGAAAACATAACAAGCTTCCATCCACAAAAGCAAACACTTGATAACTGATGAGGATTCTTTCAATGTCAACAAAGTACCACTTGTTACTCCATAAACTGTTCCAACATCAAGAAATTTCAAATGTCATTTTGTATGTCCTCTCTAAAAACTTAGGAACATTTGGGAGATACATTATCTGACCATTTGATCCATACTGAACATTATGTATCCCCAGAACTTTTCCTACAACTTCTCCTCCCAGTAGCTAGGGTCCCAAGGAACAAAGAGCAAGGGGACAGAAAAAGTCATCTGGAAGAAAAGGCACTAGGCATGGTGCTGGATGGCAGATACACTGAAGGCAGAGGCAGTGACTGGCAACATGCAAGGTCCTGGACCTGGGTCAGGGCAGTCCTCAGCATCAGTACAGACTGGGTGATGAATTGTTGAGAGCAGCCCTGCAGAAAACAACTTGGGAATACTGATGGACAAAAAATTAAATATGAGCCGGCAATGTGAGTTTGCAGCCCAGAAAGTCAATTGTATGCCAGGCTGCATAAAAAGAAGCGTGGTCAGCAGGCTGAGGGAGGTGATTGTCCATCTGTGTGCTCTGGTGAGACCCCACCTGGAGTACTGCATCCAGCTCTCGGGTCCCCAGTACAACATAGACATGTTAGAGCAAGTCCAGAAGAGGGCCATGAAAAACCATCAGAGAGCTGGAACTTCTCTCCTATGCTGTTCAGGTTGTTCAGCCTGGAGAAGAGAAGGTTCTGGGGAGACCTTGTTGTGGATTTTCAATACTAAAAGGGGGCTTATAAGAAAGATGGAGAGAGACTTTTTACCAGGGCCTGCAGTAACAGGACAAGGGGCAAAGCTTTTAGACTGAAAAAGGGCAGGCTTACATTGGACATAAGGAATAAATTCTTTATGATGAGGGTGGTGAGACATTGGAACAGGCTGCCCCGAGAAGTTGTGGATGTCCATCCCTGGAAGTGTTCAAGTTTGGGTTGGACAGGACTTGGAGCAACTTGGCCTATTAAAAGATGTCCCTACCCATGGCAGGCGGGGATTAGGTTAGATGATCTTTGATGGTCCCTTCCAATCTAAATAATTCTATGATTCTATGTTTATTTTATCTTCCCAATTTGGGCTGGGTCAGGAAGAAGCTGACATCTTAGTATTGCTACCACTCTTTTGGCTCAAGAAGCAGGGCTATGCTAGGCAATAGTTCTAAACTCACTGTAGGTTCTGTTAATGTCCATTTGATCACACATAATGAAACTTTTATTTTGGTTCACTCTTACTAAAAAACCAGAAAATTATGTTTTTCAGCTTCAGATTTTTTCCATAACATTAACCAAAAAAAAAAGACTTTGCAACAGGATAGCCAAAGATTATACTATCTTAGACAAACAGTTTTTCAAAGTAGAGGTACATTACTCAGGATTTCTCAATGATTGATCTTGCTGGTTAAAATTCTGATGGTATCTCAACAGTACTTGTTCTCCTGCTTGTAAATCCTACTAGTCCTTGGAAAATTCTCCCTGACTTGTGGTTCATATTACAGTGTATTAATTTTCAAAATCACAGTTCTGCAAAAGCAGCATGGAAAGATATCCAGCATACAAGTAAGTAAGCAAAGCAATAGTATTTACCAACAGCTGTTAAATTTGCAACAGGATGTATCTGTTTATAATGTAGGCAATGAGCTTTCATAAGACTTACTGAAACCAAGGACCTGTTTAGTCTCTTAGCTAAAATCCTGATATATCAAACAATCCACTGCAGCACTAAAAATTTTCAAAGCCAGCAAGCTTACTCACCACTGCCATACGAAAATGCACGAACAGAACGACCATCATAGCCAGAAGAATGTCCACTGTTGAGAAGAAAATATATGCAAAAGTCCTGTTTTACCAAAGCTACCTCCATCAACAAATATGTACTTTTAATATTATTCCCCTGAATTCTTATCACCAGACAGACTAAAACAAAGTGTTTGTCATTAATGGATTTAAGTCCTCCATTTTGAGCATTACTAATTAAGGAAGCTGTCTATCAACATGAATATGTGTATTTCATGTTTTCATACAGCAGGTGAAAATAGCATTCTCTCTTCTTAAAATTTAAAACAAAAAATATCCCTATCTTCAAAGCTGTTCTTTTGTATTTTCAATGAATTTTTTATTTCAAATGTTTCTTGTATCATAAGATGTTTCTGCACAGATACTGAACTTAATCTCCAATTGCTTGAAAGTGCTTCATTCATGAACGAAGCCATTCTCATTCTTTCTGTTCAAAAGTAGATACGTGAGCATATCTAAGAACAGGTGGACTTCAAATGTGTAGTTCTATAAATAAACTATTAAATTAGCTACACATTTTCTAGGCTGATTTCTTTCAGTGGTAGCCAACTCAAGTAGGTAAAAATCAGAAAGGTTAAAAAGGATGATATGTACACAGGACATAATTCATTCATATACAATTCCTTCATGCCTTTTAGCACTTCCTACATAACTTGAATGAATTATCTTTGCAGTATTTAACCTAAGTGTTATTTCTGTTCTTAAAGGCACTTTAACATTAAGAAATAAGTTTTGGGTTAGCTTAGTTCAAAAACAAAAACAAAACAATGCTAATGAAAGGCCAACACAACATTTTAACATTTAAAAGCATGAGGTTTAGTTCCTAGGTTCCACAATAAACTTGATTTTTTCACATCATATTTCAGAAATATATAAATATTCACTATAAGTAAATGCAATGACTGCTGCTTAACGACAACTCACAGCAACTGTCAGTATGAAAGAATAAGTGTACTTTCACGCACATCAAACGCATCCAGTTAGGGTTTTTTCTGAATTAAATCAGATGAGGGTTTTCTCAGAGATTTACCATCATCATCCTGTAGTGTATATGTTAATCGAATGTTCAGTTTCAAAGGAACAGATGTGCGCATGTTCCCTCAGTGAAATCCAAAGGACTGGCAAGAGGCTTGCATCATCTTCTTATGTGAGCTTTGTATATGACATGGTTTTGGCCTCTAGCAAAATACAAATACTTTTCAAGGACTGTGCTGGCCAGTATTTTTTTCTTCCTTTTACATATATATATATATAAAAAAATATATGTACGCATATACATATACACATATATAAAAAAGGCACTGAAAAAATACTGTTAGGCCTATTAAAGTTAAACCCTTAGAATAAACACAGTAGAAACACAAATTTGGATTCCTTGGAACTCTGGCATTTCCTATTGCTTATCAGGGTTTGAATCTGTGGCCAAATTGTTTATTTGCATTTATAGAAAAGGATACAGTACCTGACAAGTACACAGTTCACTTAAATAAGCCTTCAGACTACTAAAGAATACTTTAACAATCATTATCTTGACTTTGTTCTTAAGTCTTGGTATTGATATAGTGTCATAACTCAACTAACTAATAAGTGGTCAAGTAATCTACTCAAAAGAATATTAAGTGTCAGACAGGTGAGACTAGTAAAATTTCTGTAAAAATACTGTAAAAATCTGAAACTGTCTCCCCACTCCCAGATAAAATCCATAAATCACTAAGTAGTGTAAGAGTCCTTATTAATTTATTTCAGTTACAAAATACTGATATATCGCTTTATAAGATTTCAAACAGATAATCACCTTTCTATTGTGGGTATGAGGGAAGGTGGAGGACCGCCAGGTGGTGGTGGAAAGCCTGCAATAATAAATAAGGTAAGAGAGGGAAAAGAAAAAAAAAAAGAATATATTTCATATAACACATAAAAGAACTAGGCTAAGCATACAGTAGCAAATTCCAGACAGTACAATGCAAAAATTGTTTCTCACTGTGTAAATGGGTTTCACTTTGTAAGACTGAGAACTACTTTCCAGCTTAACAAAGGCAGAGTATTAAATGTATATTAATGTGCTTCAAATCAAATACCTTATCATTCTTAAAAACACAATAATAAGCACAGGAAAATTCCTGAGTATCTAACAATACTTAATAAATAATAATCACAATTATTTTTTGCATAACTGAAAAAAAAAGAATGGAAAGAAAAGAAGGAAGCGCACATCTAAGAAACTGACTAGTCAACAGTATCTTCATATATTTTCTTTTCTGCCTGGCATCAGAATAACTGAGCCTATATCTATACATAATAGTTTTGTATTTATGAACTTTTATCTGTATAACTAAAAGGAAGTTGCTAAGTTGCATATCAGTTAAGTTTTCACTTCTTAACCAAGTGTGGAAAAAAGATTCTAAGCAAGTTTACCTGGTGGTGGCACTGTTATTGGTATACCTAAAAAGACAATAAATAATGTATCAGTTATAGTAACAGTTTATGTTTATTATCTGTAGATCTAAAATAAGATTGAGTTATCACCACATACATGATGAAGAAGAATGATAGCTTATTTTCTGTGTCCTCAGATCAAGATCTCACATTAATACCAATTGTTGAGATTTTATGCAAGCCTTATGAAATTGGGTTTTTTATTTAAATTCCTATTCTTCAATATCTTATTTAATTAAAGACAAAAATAACGAAGAATGACTCTGGGTCTCAAGACTAGAATTAAATCTATAACCTTAAAATGTTTAGTATCCAGAAGGAAAGTAACATCTGATAGAATACATTTGCTTTATTTTATATTCCATGACTGGATGAAGGGAAATGCAACTGGCCTTTGACCTTTAATAGCTTAGTATAGGAAACAGTAGGTCCACACGGACAAAATATTCTAGCAACAGTAAGCCTTACAGACTTTTCAGTCAATGCTATGCCACACTGCAATTCAGTTGCTACTTGGAGGGAAAAAAAATTGTTCGGTATTCTATTTTCTTGTAAATATCTGAGAATAATACAAACACATTCAAAAACTACTCTGGTTTTCAGACCTAGCTTAGCTGTTACAAATGTAACAAAAAGCTGAGAAATTGTTCCCAACTAAATTAGTTGACCCAACAAAATATACTGCCTTAACATATAAAGGTATCTTACTTGATTCTGAATGATTAAAAGGCAAAAATCATTCATACACTTTAAAGGACATTATCTTCTCATACTTTGCAAAGAACTAGCTTTATCTCAATTGAACACACAAACCACTGTTACATGAAAATAATAAACTGGGCTAAAACAATATTGTCAGAAAACAGACTACTTTACCAGGCATAAAGCTCTTTCAGTTATAAGCAACTCTGCTTCCATTAAAAAATAAGTGCTTTCAACCTGACAACTCACTGCAAGACTTTGGGGGAGGAGGGGAGAAGAGAAAACTTTGCCAAGTGCTTTTATCAGTTTTGCCATAACTGCATAAACATCCAGACAGAACAGCAGCCAGATCCACCTAAATTAAAACCCATCTCATTCAAGTTCCAGACTTCATCATTCAGAGAATATCCTAGATGTACTGGCCACTGCATGATTAATTGTATGTATATACACTATTAGTCCAACATTAGAACTAAACCACTATTGTATGGCAGCAACATTTAACTACATCTACACATTATATTGTCTAGAAATGCCAACTACTCCCAAATTGCCTTGGCAGAAGGACAGAATGAAGGAATATGCAAGCTGAGGAAGTGTAATCAAAATCAATGTTAGGTAATTGCTGGTGATTTCACTGACCTGAATTCTCACCAGCATTAATCCTATAGGATTAAACAGATTGTGAAACAAAATTGGGGTTGCTGTCTAATCCTAAAGATTTAAAATCTCTCAGCCAAAATGTGAATCAGGAGACAGCGAAACCCAAAAGCCAAATTTCTAAATTGCATGAGCCACTTTCTCTTCACCAGCACACAAGCTTTCCAATATGCACTATCTTGTTAAGAACACCAGAAATCACACCACTAAAAGTTTTGACAGTGTAACGTTTAAAAGACTAAACACTCCTAATGAAAATTGTTCAAAGAAAAGGAAGACTGGGAACTCAAACTACTGCATAGCTGACGTATTTTCTATTCATCTTTTTTTGCTAACTCTCCAGCTTAACAGATTTCTTCATGAGTCTACTATATACATGAAAAATACCTCTTAACAGCAATGTTAAGAACGTAAGCTAGAAAAATATCAGAAGTTCTCTCAAAATTATTAATTTATTAGTTCTATCTTATGCTTAAAAATTTTTCAATTGCTGCACTAAAACCAGTGTATTGTTAGCACTGAACACAGCTCTCAGCATTATCCACAGAATAGCCTGGAAAGCTATAAGCTAATACTCTTCGCAAAAAGGAAGAAATTCTGATTAAACAATTAATATACTCCTCAGAAGTTTATCTTATGCAGAAATACAAATAAAAATCTCATTACAAGATCAATAGTCAAATGAAAAATTTCACTTGAGAGCCATTCAAGCAAAATTAAGACAGACTGAATAAAACTAATATCCAGAGACTAAGCATCCAAATAATTTTAACGAATTGGTTAATGCAGGGTATTATACTGAAAAAACCACATAGGCATTTTTCATCAAAATCATGTCACATCCCTACAACACATTGTACTGCCACAAAGATACACCTCGCCTAAACCTAAATATTCAGACTTGTGTGCCAAAAGCAATCCAAATGGCATTAGTGCGGCATCTCACCTAATGCACTCAAAATTGCTTTCAGGACATTGTATACCATCCTACTAGCTCAAGGCTGGTAAATATTTACAGAAAACCAAGTAGGTTTTACTAAAGGAAAGCAATGCCACATGTGCTCCACTTGCAGAGTAAGGAATCAAACATGATAATGCTGCCAAAGCTTAACAACATGCTGCAAATTAGCTGAACTGTGTAATAGCCCACAGCAATGCAACGTAACTCAACCTGGTGTAAAAACTTCTTTTGCCACAGGCTAAACTAAGTCAAATTCTCTCTCATTTATCACAAGATAAAAAGTACACACTTCGATCGCTGGGATTGAACAGATGTTACTTGCTAAGTAACTTGCTAAGTTCTGGTGCAAGTCTAGGCAGTCAAACTTCCTAAAGTTATGCAACAGAAGTTCAACACTTCAGAGTAATTTTTTTTTTCTTGAAATATCACAAATGCATGTCACATTTTAACTACACTCTTAAACCAAAACACATAAAACAACTTTTAAAGCCTGTTAAACAGAAGCATCCATGTTCTTCTCTAAATTTAAATCACTCCAATATAGCAATAAACCAAGCAAACAAAAAACAACACATTTTTTGCCACAGCCAGTGATCTCCTAGGAGTATTTGAGAATTTTCTGCATTTGGCCCTTTGAATTTTCCAGGACGCATTCCTCAAAAAAAGATTTGAATCGCAAGAGTGAATGAATTCAGAACAAGAGATGTAACTTCAAAGCAAGATCCTTTTTCAAAGGGGCTTTTGGAGGATGTTTTATATTTGGAATACTTAAATTTTCTGGCAAGTAGTCCCGGTTTAATATTGGGTAAGAGTAGTTTTTTTCCTCCTCCTCCATTGAACCTAGGAGGGATGGCAGATCCTATTTTAGGAACAGCTTTGAAGATAAAGAACTGGCAACAGCACAATTAAAACACAGGCCTGAAGAAACCAAATCCACAGCTCTTAATTGTTATTTACAAATCTACTCAAAGTACAGAAGGATGTCAAAGGAGACCTTCTGAACAAGCGTATGTCATAAACCTGTCTGTAAAGCACAAGACTAAAGCCAAACCTGCTTGCTAAATCTGTTATACATGTGGATTTCTTTCACCTTTAAAAACTCAACAGGTGAAGCATTTCATAAGAACAGTCCGGTACACCTATATGACATCCCTGCACCAAATGCATTTGAAGTGTCTGTGGGGGTTTCTCTCATGCTTTTAATAACATAGAACTTAGATCACATTTTATGTACCACAATTATAATTAAAGTAATTACTTTCTAAAAACTCGCAATGCATTACCTATATTATTTTATCAGAAAGGTTTTAATGCAGCTTAAAACCACAGTTAGCATTAACGTCACGTTCCTCTCCTTTCTGTCCCCCCTCCACCCCCGCAGAAAGGAAACATCACAAAATTGCAGCATATTCTCTCTTCAGACAGCCTATTTTTTATATTTATGCACAAAAACTTGGACACAGAATTATTTAATCTTTAAATCTCTTCTCTTCTGTTTTCTAGGTTGCACCATATTGTGTATGACAATCACTGATGAAAGCCAGACCTTGCCAGGCAGCAGGAGTTAATAGTTTTAAAAGGAAGCAATTGAAAGAAGCAATTGAAGAAGCAACCTCTTCTATGAGGATTTAAACCTTATAAAGCCCCACACAAAGTTGTTGCACAGAAATAATAATAATGTTACTTCCTTGCTTATTATAATAATAAGAGTATTAACAGGGAAACTTTTAAGATTCTCTATGTGAACAGAATAGCAAAGTAACTGCTCAGCACGACTTCAGAACAAACCAAGCAAAAGAACACAAGGAACAAAAGGAGAAAATACTAGAAGGGGCTCCACTTTAAATCAATCTCTTCTATAAAGAAATCCTTCACTTTCCTACTCAAATACTCCGCAAAGTCTCTCCACCTATTTTCATTTCTCACTGACCATTCTTCTTAGTTCCTTGCTAAGCCCTTTTGAACTTAATTCTTTAAAATGACCATACCCAGGTAACTGCACTATTTGTGCAAACATCCATGACACTCCCCTCAGTAAATTTCCATAAATATCAAGTTTCAGTAAATATTCAGTGAACATCAGTAATTTTCAAACCAGATTTAACAATGAGAGGAGTTCTCAAAGAGCTTTGATTCCCTTAAGATTCACAGACACGGGATGTTGGATAAAATATCAGGTGCTAATAAGACCTCTCACTGAAAGAAATGATACAGCACAAATGCAATTCTTACCAGACTTGGTAAGGGGAAAGGGGAATTAAAGCTTCTGTTGCTGCTTTGACCTTAGACATCAGAGAATCCAACTTCTGACACAAATTCATGGTATGCCACACTTTTAGTTCAAAAGTTTGCAGAATGGTTTGTTAGCATGCACCTCTCAATGGCATTAACAGTTGAACTACACAAAACAGCTTCTCACTTCAAACATTTTGAAGGACACAAGATCCAACATTTAGTCTTCAGGTAATTATTTACTACTTGGAATTATGCTTACTGAGAAAGTAAAGATAGAAGTTTCTCGTCCTGCCTTGCAGATATATTTAAGAAAACAGTAGAACATAAAATTCTGAAATTCTGCACATATAGCCAAATGTGCATGGAATGCTCTATCTTTAATTCATTATCATCAGGCACTTGATGATAATGCATCTCTCGTTTTTCACATCCTATGTAGTGCAGGGTATTTACCTGGTGGGGGAATCAGAGGTGGTGCAGTACTGACAGTTGGAGGGGGTGGGAGGAAAGGAGGTGGTGGAAGATGGGTAGGTGGAGCTCCTGGAGGGAAAAATGGAGGTGGCTTGGTAAAATTGTCTACTTCAGGATTAGATCGTTCTGAAAGAACCTGTAAAATATCAAACTATAGTTACAATTGCTATGTCAAAAGGGTAGAAGATAGGTTTCCTCTTTTTCCAGTTACTACATCAGCAAAGTATTACTTATGCACCTAAAGAGCCATATTCAGGTGGTTTAAATTCTATCTGCATCCCAGATAGTTCAGCGTCCCACACTTGCAAAGTAACTCTGAGGGCCTAAGAGCAGCCACTAGGGAATAATAAATGTAAGACCTGAGAGGGAATATAAGCCATCTGAATATGGCCCAAAATACCATGTTAAATTTACATATATAGGAAAGTATTTCAAAAATCAATATGAAAAGCATGAAAAACCCCAAGACTTTAAATTACTTAAAGACTGTGAGATCAGTTGAAAAACACAGAGCAGTGTTTTCAGTATAAGCACTGCAATCCATTATTATTTTCATTGTTTAATCTTAACCTAAGTTGGCGTGGAAATGCAGCTAGGACACCAAGTAACCTTGATTCTTCTCCACAGATAAGTCAGGAGAGAAAAGTGTATTCAATCTTAACGCATTTTGTTGTTTTCTTAAGATAATCCAAGCCCATAAAGACTAAAAAAAAGATTAATCTTACAATTTACAGTAAAATAATACAACATAATTCAAAAAAAAGAAAAGTTCTATCAACTATTTATTGCGTCACAACTTATTTTTAAAAGACTGCATTTCTCAAACTGCGTACAAAAAGGCTTTCACTTTCAGCATTAGTGTCTGGCAGGAATAGGGGAGAAATGAACAGTCAGTTTAAATATTTATCTTTGTCATTTAGTAAACAAAATGCTATCCCACGCAGATCTAGCAGAGCCAATGCTGTCTCCTCTACTGTAAGTCTGCAATATCGCTCATTTCCTTTCAGCAAGAAGTATACCAAAACATTTATCTTTTGAAATATTTCAACTTAATATATTTCAATTAACTGCCTGTCAACTTTCTTCCTGAACTTAAAGCTTATTCTGTATCACTCATACATACACACTGAAATCTTTTAATCAGAACCTATGGGGAAAGCAAAAATGTCTTTTTATCAAAGATAGTGTGCAAATCTGCAGTATAAAACCTGTATGTTGCTGTTTTCATTAGCGCGCCGTCGTCCTTCCACCCTGCTGATAGTAATGGTCTGTCCAATCACATCTATTGTGCCAGGTAATCGCCTGCAATACAGGACAAACCAGAATCAACAAGTAGAATTAGAAAAGGAAAAAATAAAAATAAGAGAGAAGAAAGTCTTATGGACTTCTCTCATTCTGAATGCCAAAAGTTCCTTCTCCTATATAAAATATAAAAGATGGTTTCTGAAGAACATTAAATGTGATAAATTTGCTGAACTATGCAAATGTGTAGAACTAAACAAAGCAGCAATACGAAGCAGATGAAGGCTGACTCTCCACTTTCTCCTTCCATCCCCTACAAGATAATAAGTCTACACTTCTCTTCCTGATAAAAGGGAAAACAAACAAACAAAAAAAAGGAACAATAAAGTGAGATCACAGAAAACCTCAGTAAGAAAAAAAAAACTATATTAAACAGAACTTCTACAAAAATCTAAAGTAAAATCATTATAAACTAATCATTAGAAATAATTTCTAAATTGCAAGAAACCATACTGGAAGACTCCATGGAAGACCAAATGAAGGTAAATTAGGAGGCAGAAATTAGCATAAACCAACCCTACCGTGCATAGTCTTGATATTGCAGCACATGTTGAACAAAATCAGCTGTCATCTCTCTTACCTTGGGATACACAGTCTTAACATCAAACAGAAAGTATATGAAACTAGTAGACACTGACTCTTGAATTAAACCTTGTATGAAACGGAATCTTAGATCAGCCATTCATACTTCGGTTCCTCAGTTGCCCAAATGCAAAATGTCTCTCTCTCAAACACCTCTAAAACATTTGCATAGCTAAGCACTATGTTCACCTTCTTTAAAGAAACCGGCAACAGAGCAGCACAAGACCCACCTCAGTCTCCCTTACAACCCAATCAGGCAACAACAAAACGTAACGTAAATTAAGAACGCCTAGCTTAGAAGTAATTAGTAATGGATTTTCAGAGAAAAATGACAAGAGAAGTGACATGCATCTACACATTTTTTCCCTCCCAGTTTGTGCCAATCAAAAATTTAAGGACTTCCCATGCGACCATGTTTTATAGCCTCTGATTAATCTGCATTTGCACAATCTCTTTTGAACGCACTTTTACTTTTGATGTCCAGTGACGAGATCTGTTTTTGCTATTTTTTTGCCTGACAATTGTATTTGGTGTTCTACATTCTCAGTCTTAAAAAACAACCCACCAAAAAAACCACCACAAGATAAAAATATCCCTGCTCCCTGGTAGTGTAGTATTTGCAGTACCTCTGTTGTATCTCTTCTCAGTTGTCTCTTTCCCAAGCTGAACTAGTTCAACTAGTCCAAGTCTCCCCTCATATAGGAGTGACTCTATAACTTTCATTATTAATTAATATTTTTGTGGACCCTTCCTACCTCTACTACATCTTTTCTTGTCTGATGTAAACAGAACCACAGATAATATTCAGCTCGCAATGCATCACAGCTTTATGTACTAATAAGGACTTTTCCTGGTTTGTTCCCCACTGCTAATGATGACTACCATTCCATTTTCTTATTTTGGCTAATACTGGAAATCGAACTAACATTTTCGGAAGCAGCAACAATAATTCCAAGATCTCTTTCTCAATGGGTATGATTATTATTAATGATTAATCTGAAGAAGTGCATCTTATTTAGATCTAGGATTTAACTTTTCAGTGATTGTCGCTGATTCCAGTTCACTACAAGTTATTCCAGTCCACACTGGAGTCAATGTGTGAATTTCAAATGCAAATGTATCTCACTTCAGTTTCCAAACCAGTCAATCTATTAAGCTTATGCCTGTTAAGTTGTATCTACTAAATAATTCTTAACTCCCATGTACATAATCACATACTCTGTTAAGAGAGGTATCTTTTAAGTCCCCAAAATCATCAGATATTGTGGTCACACAGCTGTCAATTGCAACATTTTATTTTTAACTTTTCAAAGCACATTAAAACCGCTACACTGAGGGTAAAGACACAATGGCATTCCATCGGATACAAACACTAAATTTAAAGCAAAATCAATCTCTCAAAATCTTCAATAAATCAACCACATGGAAATATACTGACAGTAAAGAAGGTCTCCAGGCACCAGACCAGAGAATAACGACAAGGATCTGAACATCATCCACTAAAATCTGGTATCCGTGACAACGGGGAACCACTATTTTGAAGAGAGGGAGAATCTACAGTATAGTGAACTTTCCTGTTTGCAGCCCCGAAACAAATGAAACCCAGAAACCTAGTTTCACAGAGAATTTATAACTCTATTATTCTTATGCAGATCGAACAAAACCTACCTACTTTGAAGCCCATGGTTAATTTCTAAAAGGGGCTAAAAAGCAGGATTCACTTAGGTCAACTCCACTAGAAAATAAGGGACAAAATTACACTGCTAATGGATGAGAGAAACAAAGGTACATCTGTGTCACACCCATAAGGGAAACCACAGCAGACAAACCTCACAATATTTACCAATAGCATGATATATAACAAATTAAGACTGGGAAAAAGATTTTAGGAAATTTCAGAAAAGAAATTCATAGAAAGAAAATAATACTTCTAGTTTTAGAAGACAAGTTCTTGTATTTTTTTTTTATCTAGTGGTCTACTAAGCACACTAATACAAATAGCAGGGAGAACAGCTGGAAATTGGGATTACAGGCTCCAAGTTCTGCTGGACTGATAGCTCTGATCCCAATTGCTCAAATACCTAGATTCCAATGCAGCTGAAAAAGACACAGCAGACACTACAGGATGAAGGATCAATTAGATCTCCCAGAGATAATCTAAAGTTCCGTGATAGACTGCATACCGAGGACGATCCAAATGCCTGTCCTCAGAGCTTTTCAGTATCTGGGTTTAGAGCTTCCTCCTGGATTTTAAAGCAAGCTCATTAAGCACAATAGTTTGGAGGAAAAAAAAAAAAAAAGTCCAACGCTACAACAGTTTGAGAACACATCTGCAAACTAAAATTGTACATACTACACAGCAGCCTCTTCAAGGATAACACAGGTTTAAGAAATTCTCGGATCTTCTAACATACCATCCTAGAAGTCAGATTGTTTCAGTCTAAATCCTGAAACAATCAACACCTGCTTTCTTAATCCTCCCGAGTGATCTTGCATGGTATTCCAGCACTGCTGCACTTTGGATTATTATTTTGCTTTCAGTAACTGAATTGGAAACATAGGTATTATAAAACAATTTCTAAATCTACTGTTCACTAAAAATAAAAAACAAACCAAACCACCAAAACCCAAACCAATGAAATTTTGTAAAATGACAAACTTTGTCTCAGTCTTTACTCTGACAGCTCATTTGGTTTCAGAGTTCTAAGACACTGCTTCTCCTCCATCGCTGGTATCTTCTCTTAATTATCTAAAACTGTACCCTAGAAAACTCATTTTACCCAACTTTAGTCCTTGTGTATGATAGATGACTCTCTTCTACAGCAAGAAGTCCCTCCTCAGGTGACCCCCTGCTTGGCTCAGTCCACTGTTTTACCGGGCTTCCACTTGGGAGTGATGTACCTCAAATTAAGGCTCCTCCTCTCTTGCCCTGTTTGCACGCTGCCAGCAACTCTCGGAATCAGCATTTACAACATAAACAATGGACACTAATGCAAAAGTACTGGGCATTAAAGTACTATGTACATCAACCATACTACAGTAATACCAATTTTGGCTTGGGAAGTAGCCCAAATACAACACTGCATCATCAAAGGAAGCAAATCTAGACGACCAGTTGGTTCCTAGATATCAACTTTACAGAAATGAGCAGAGCTTTCACTTACTTTTTCTAGAGTCTGAAGAGTATACTTATGCTCACTCATTCTCACTGAGCTGGTGCTTTATAATTCTTTTTTAAATAATGTTTTATAGTGTTATGTCCATTGTTCTTCCCAACGGCTGCCAAAAGATTTAATTTTTGTAATGACGGATGCGTTCAGAAATTTGCCATCATACCCTGAACTTGACAAATTCTGTATTTCCAACACTGCAATAATGATTTCATTCTCCACTAAAAAGAGTTTGAAATTGAACACGAGAAAGCATACGTTCAGTTGCAAACAGAGCAGCAGATGACATCGCTGTCAAAAATGCAAACTGCACAAAGGCGAGGCATCTGAAATGTCCTGAATTTAACAGTTCAGCAGTTCTGTAAAAGGGGCAAATCTGAAGCCTCAGATCTTGATTAACTCATAGCAAGTTGGCACATGACGGGATTTCAAAGACTCCCCAGCCATTATCTAGCTTAGTGAGAAGACATTAAGCAGGCATTACTAGTTTCTGTCTCAGTGCTGTATGCAAAGAAAAGAAAAGGCTTGGTTTGTTCCTTACACTATCAGGGCACCTGCGATACAGATGCATTCCCAATGGATACACCCAAACATAAAAAGGCAATCCACATGTGTGGGATGCACATGAACACACAGCAGAGTTCATACCAAGTGTAGCCTGAAAAGAACGTTCCAGCAACTCAGTGATTGATTTCACCCTAATTAGAGAATGGTTATTTATGAGTTATTTGTACCATGAATACCACTGTCCACGGGGATTTAATTCAGAAAGATATCTCAATTTCATTTGGCAAGCTGAGTGTATTTGGGTTCCACAAAGCAAAGAAAAAGGGGGAGAAAAAAAAAACAAAACCAAAATCAATTATTTTCCAAATTCATAGCTTCAGAAATCACTTATCCCCATCACAAGTAATATAAATAATTAACTGCTTTTTTGGACTTCACCCCACACACATACACTTTTCAGAATTCAAAAACAGTCTAACTACTGGATGCTACATTTATTCAGTAGACTTATAGTTTAATCTAAGAATTAGAGAATTATAGTATACTTCAAAAAATGTATTTAATATGTTCTTGTGTTCTTTCTTGTTTTGCTTATGTTTTATGCTTTATTTTCCCTCACTTAAGGACAGTCTCAACCTTGCTGAGCTCACTTACCACTGATCAATATAATTAAGAAGCAAACATTTAATACAGAAATCACTGATACAAGAAATAGATATTATCTTGAAAAAATGTCTGAGCTTTCATCATTTAGTTCATGAAACAAGAGAGACGGGTATTTTTTCACAGTAATGACGTATCACAAATCCATTTTCTATAAAAATTCTGTTTACAGGAGGGCCCAAGCACAGAGAAAGCTGAAAAATAGCCCATCATATTGACAGGCAAATTTCTCTGCAAACAAAATTCATTTAAATGTAATATGCTCTTTAGTAATAATGCAAAAAAGCATAAACGGACGTTAAAAAACAAAGAGTTTCCAACAGAACAAAGTTCTGCAATGGAGAGCTATTCGAGCTATTACTGGAATGAGAAAATACCAGTTTTGGCATCCAGTTTGTAGATGAAACTTCCACTTATTTCTCTGCCACTAAACAAATACTATTTCACAGTCCTTGAAAAATGATACAAGGAAAAGCACTGGTCTAAAACCGGTAAGGTACCTCTATGACCTGGCTGGTTAGGACAGGTTTCAAGTACGTCAAATCCTCTTCATGTTCTAGAAAGCACTATACTCAAAAGAGATTCCTTCAGCTTTTTACCTTAATTGTGACTATGCACAGAATTAATGTTTAATGAACTACCTCTAGAGAACAAACATTTTATTTTACACCATATTGTTTGTATATGACATCCATTTACTAAATCATTTCCATTATGTTCTAACTCTTCCTTCAGGATTACACAATGCTTCACGCTATTCAACAGCCCTAAATATCACAGAATCAAGACAAGAGGTTCAAGTGTGATTTCTAAACAACAAACAGCTCAGCTCAGCTATAGTTAAGACAGTCATTGTTTACAAATCCAAGCAAAATTTCTCACATAGACACATCGCACGAACAAGCACTGAATTTTTCTTCAAATTAAACATTTAGGATGCAATACTAGTGAAGTAGTAACTTTTATTTGCTGTTGAGCAGTAATTCTGTTTCTATTTTGTAAACTATAACTTCCATATTGGTAATGAGTAGTATTCTTTCTAAACCTCAGAGGTTGTTTGTTTCTTTGGTTTTGGGTTGTTTTTTTTTCTGAGTATTTCAACTGCAACATATGCAAACATCTACTGTACTCAAACTAAAGAGGTAAAAACAGTAGGCTCAAAATTATTTTAATGTTTGTTTACAAACATATGAAAAAAAGCAAAAAACACTATCTGTCCTCAGACTTCCCATTAAAGAGAAATATGTGCCGCAATATCTATCTGTAAAATCATCCCTGAAGCAATGTTAGAGCCCTGACTAGTAAAATGGGGAATGAAGATGTTAAATTAGGATCGTGCCCTGATTTCTCCCCCCACACCCCTAACATTAATTCAGGTGATTTGTCCCTCCTATATTGTTCCCACCACTTTCCGATGCCTGAACTGGTTTTTCTGGAGGAAGTGCGCACCTGTGACTGAGAAGAGGTGCTGCTTCTGGTGAGTTAAATTGCTAGGTCTTTCTTTTCTTGTGTCTCTATCTTTTCAGCTCTTTGAGTTCCTCTTCTCCTCATGCCCAGCTCCTCACCAATCCCCCCACCAATGCTGCTATGCTCAGTTGCATCAGTTTTCCCTCCCTTTCACCAAATACATCAACTATTGCTATAAACTGAGAGAAGTTTTACTGCTACATGAGAAATGCTTCCAGACATTTCACAACAAATCTACTGCAAATAACTCATGGCATAAAGGCAATTATTTTAAATTATCAAAGAGCTGGATAGCCAAAAATTTCTGCCTACCTAAAATGAACTCATTAATTAAAGGAAGGAAAAAAAAAAAAGTCCAATCCCATAAACACTGTCTAGTTATAAAGAAATCAGTAATACAGGTTTTTATACACAGAAAATAGCAGCTGATTCTGGAGAAGTTATTCAAGTAGAAGTATATATAATCCATACAGTTAAGCAATATTCATTCACTGAGCTACTCTCAGACTTTTGAGCATACAATTTTCTTTCAAAATCTCTTCTGACCACTCAGTAGAAATACCTTTTTCTTTACACAAGAAATTATTTAATTATTTTAAGCAAATGCATCCAAAGGAGCAGATTTCAAATTTGGGAAGAAATCAGTTTTGCCATTGTAACAACTTAGAATTACAGTATTCACACTAAATGTATATAAAACAACCTATTCTAACCATTAGAATGCACAAGTGATACAACCGGAAATTTACCATTTTGTTTCCTCTTTATCTACGCAACAGACCAACTTCACTTACTGGCTTCTCATTCTTAAAGATATACCAGTTTCCCAACCTTTGCTATGATAAACTTAGTTCCTGGAGAAAACAGACACGTCTTAAGTTTCTCAGGAAAGCTCTGATTAACAACTAATATATTAACTTTAAACTTTAAAAAAATCAGAAAGATGGTCACTTAAACTGGTGATTGCTAAACTTCAGGAAGGAACAAAAAAGTATCACATAAAAATATAGTATAAAGACATTTGTGGCAAGATAGATTTAACCTAGCCAGAGCATACAACAAAGATTTTACTTATGAAGCCTACACCATATGGTGGCATAAAGAATTGCAATCCTGTAACAAAATCTGTACTAGATAGAGATTTGGAATCCTTACCCTGTGAATAGTACATTTAATTTTGAGAACTCTGTTACAAGAACATCAGAAGCAATTCAGAAAAGAAAAGCAAAAAAAAATAATTACAGGGTTGGTACAAAGTTTGGAAGAATTTTATTACTTCTTACACAAAGAAAAATGGAAAAAAAGGAACAAAAATCTACCAAAATCAGAGCAGTGTAACCTGACAGCTCAGAGAAGAATTCAAGCTACCAGGAGGAATATTCTAGGAGTGAAAGAAAAATGCAGGCAAGAGTATCAAGCAAGATTTTTTTTTTTTTCCCCACCCAAGAGAAATATATTTGGGTGCTGAACTGACTCTTAGAAGGACGGAATATCTGAACACGAGTGCCTCTGAATTAGTCAAGGTACTTATGGATGCAGTGCTAAAGACAAGTCATAGATGCTAGTCTTTAACTGTTGATGACAGAAGCGTATAACCTGCTCTACCTCTCTTACCATCACTTATAATACAATGGCTTTTAATTTGCACAGAACCAAAACTCCTAAACAGGATCACTTGATAACTAAAGCAGAAGCACGGATTCATCCTAAGTCAAGTGCCAGGTATCAAACAGCAGTAGCTTAGATATAAAGGACAGAACTTATTAAAGCCTAGGGCAGAGAGAAGGAGGGGAAGAAATCCTAGCAAGGAAATAATTTCTCTCATTTCAAAGAAAGTATAGTAAACTATTCAAATACGGAGAAGCTAAAGCTACCTTGAAGGACAGAGACTGCATTCCAGGAATCCTTCCAGTTGTTGATGTCGCAGCCATCTGATTCCATCTTGTTTAACTGAAAAGGTGTGTTAGCTAATACCCATAGAAACACTAGCTAGAAACATTTTGTTGGCCAGTCTAATTCTACACAAAAAACATGGTGTCATATAACAGCACCTGGATTTTTATATGTGTCTTGTTATTTGGTTCTGCAGTTTTTGCTCCCCTTCTACTTTCTCTTTTCCAAGTAGTCAGGAAGGTAGCACAGCATTCATGTGTAATGGTGACTGAAAGCTAAAAGTGATTGGGATCACTCTTCCCCTCATTTCTATCTGTTACAGAAATACATTTACCTTTTTTCCTACAAAAATCATGCATTTCAAATACATAGAGGTAAGAGTATAAAAAGCTTTTTAGTCTTGAGTTACAACTGTCTAACTAACCTGTTTGTTGGAATTCCTGATTTGAATAAGGCAGGAGGAGATGTGAAATCAGCTTTGGTCGACTGCACTGCCAACTCTTTCTCCAAATTTCCAGTTCTGCCCTGCTGTACCTTCAAAATAATGTTTCATCATTAGTTTAACCTCAGAAGTGTAGTAGCCTCAACACTCAACATAGCACATAGCCAACACAAAAAGAAAGTAAGTCCAACTTTAATAAAAATTTTTAAAAACTGTCACCTTTGCACAGCTAGAACAATTCCATATTTTATAAGGGTGTATTACTTAAGTACTGTGTTTAATATATATAAGAAGCAATATACCAGAGAACAAATTACTACAGAAGATTAGGCAGTTTTATTTTCCAAGCATTTGATTTGGACATGAACAGACCAAACCGATTTTCTTGTAGAATTTCCTGTATGAACAAAATAACATCTTAATTTTTAAAATGAGCAAACTTATTAAAAAAATAAAAATCTTCATAATCTTAATGACAGAGATATCTAACAAGTCTGCTACCCAACAACAAACCATGAGACAAGAAATTGAGTTGATTCTGCATCTGCCTTACTGACCATGAGATCTAGTAACCACTTAATTTCTGAGTCATACTAGGAAGTCACTTCATACTCTGGGTTATGCAAACTTTAAAAGATTTTTCATTAGTTCAGACTGAATACCTCAAACACACACTGCTGTTTCTGAAGTACTGAAAATTCCAGAGACACATTATTAAAGTTATGCAAGACCTTTGGTGCAAGTACTTCAAGTATTGTTTGACTTCAGCAGCATGTTATACATGAAAGAAAAATCTACATGGGTAAGCAATAAAGACAAATCTCTACTGATTCCATTTTTGAAGACACTCCCACTGTACCAACCACATAGCTGCATCACTCTACATAGCTAGTTCACTCATGGTATAACATCGTATAGGTTGTGATCTCACAGCTTCTTGTAGGCAAGTGAACTACTAAGCTTTTGCAGAATCCCACTTCTAAACACAGGTACCTCTTTCCCAAACCCACAAAAATGCACAGAAATAGTAAAGATCGTTAAAATTGAATTAAACTATCCAGATACATGATTAAAAAAAAAGGGAAAAAAAACCCTCCTGAATAGGTTTGGTGTATTTAGCTGAAAAATCTGTAAGACTTCTATTAATTAATAACTGGAAAATGTGGGAGACAAAGTCTTGCCAGTTACAGAAGATTAATCCAAACATCATGTAAATTACATGAGACTTAGTATTTCAGAAGAGTGGGAAGAAAAGTTAATGAAATTATTAAATAATTAAACTCCTTGTAAAACACATGACAAAAATCTTACTTTAGACTCTTACAACACAATTATTATCTGTACCGTTCGATTACTGGACTCCCAGAGAGTCAATATTGAGCTAGAAGTAGGGGAAGTTTTGGGTTGGAATACTTATCCTTCTTCCTTCAGGACAACAGTTCAGAGAAGTTTGAGATTGCAGTCAGCTGCAAATCGTAAATCCCATTGCCCACCATTTCCACCATTCCACAACACTATTATAATGATAACTGAAGAAGGTAAAAAGCCCCGGGGAGCTTTGGATCTCTTCTTGCTAAGATAAAGTCAAAATTACTGGAAACCCTCAGGTAGCATATGGGAGGAAACAAAAATACCTGTCTGCAATTGACACTTCTGTCAGGAGTATACAGAAAAAAAGTAACAAACAGTTCCAAGTCAGTTTAATGACAGTTCAAGACCAAAAATGCTGCATATTAAAAATAAGCAAAATAAATAACCTTTGTATTATAATTTCAATTTTAGTATCAAATGAAAGAGTAAATGAGAAAACAGGAACTTCAGAAAAATGTTTAATCCTTAAAAGAAATCCTGTCATATAGATTTTTCTGCTCTCTGAAAATCAGCATTTCTGAATGGAAAAATATTATATATAACTTGATTTATTGCCATCTAATCCCAAAAGGATAATAGAAAAATACAGAAGATTGATTTTCACATCTCAGAGTTGCCAACGATAAGTGTTACAAAACACAGTAAGAGCCACAAGGCCACAGGAAAAATAAACATGCCATAATCTACAAAAGCTTCTCCACCACATCTGCACAAATTCTTTAATCTGCACAAACAAATGCACTACAACTAAAAATAAACCATGACATAAAGAAAAATTAGTTTCACTGGGAAATTTGTTAGTTCACCAGGCCACTAACTCACATGCTTGCAGAAGGGTGATGAACAAAGGGTGACGAGCACTTTTTAATCAGCATTTTGTGACATACACAGAAAGTCACTGATGTAAGATGAGAGTCTGAAATAATGGCTGGGTCCATTTCAGTTGTTCTTCTATCAGTCTGTGGCAGCATGGGAAGCAATACTCAACAAAAATGAGAGCAACCAACAAAAGTTTACTAAAATTCACCTTAAAAAGATGGTATCTGCCATCGAGAATCTCTGCACTTGGTCTTACTTCCATAGCATTGTCTTCAGCCTAAGTTAAATAACACATTGCCCATTAAGATACCATACAACTCTTATGTGATGGGCCACAACCTGAATAACGGTACAAATGCAATCTAGCTGTAGCTAGTCTGTCACACTATCCACACAAATTGCCAGAGAAGCAACAGAGAAACACTCTAGGCTCGGGGTGGGGAGTCAGGTGCAAACTCTAACATAAACGCACTGAACTGGGCAGAACAAGCTTATGACACACAATCAGCTTTACAGGGAAAAACAGCATGTAGAATACCACAAAAGTTGTACTAATTACCGTAATTTTATTTGTGGTTGAGGTAACTGGTAAAATTTCAAGACCCATTCGTATTCTCTTTTGTTTTTCACAGTAAGCTTTCCAAGTATCTTCATTGAACCCATAGTTGAAGTAATCAGAGAGATCAGCCCCTTTAAATAGAAAAGCATAGGTTTTTAGGACAGTACAAAGTTAATTTCTATTTTCTTCACTGAACATACCTACACCTCTATTTGTAACATCAAAACAGATTAAGTATTGATCTAAAAACATACTACTGAAATGTTCAATACAGTTTTACATCAGTAAACATAGAGTATTCATAGTTAAGACTATAAACACATTAAAATTTATTCAAAAGGAGTATCTTGCCTAGCATCCTGTCTCAGGGATCAAGGGCAGACACTTACAGAATATCATAGGATATTATAATCCCCGTACCTTTGCAAAAAGGATAAATGTTAAGATCTACATGTTTGCTGTACGTTCAGTGAAGAAGCACTGCCTTTTGCTTGTTCTGTATTTGACTCCTCATTTCGTTTTGACTCTTCCTTTCATTTGATGTGTTTTTATTGTAAGAGACACCAAACATAACTCAAACTCACAGAATACATTTCAAATAGCTAACCGTTAAAACACCAGAATGTTATCAAAGCCTTTTTTTATCCACTTTGTGGACACTATTTGCATTGCCAAAGCAATTTACAAACTGTAGAAAAAACCTATACACAGTAGCAAGATGTACTGCCACTAAAAAAACCCAACCAACTCTGGTATTAGACAAGTCTGCCCAAACCACTTGAGCCAATCAGACAATACACAGGAGACTTATGGAAAGCCCATGTGGTACCAGCTCCTTCTTCAAAGCTTATGGATGTCTACGTGTGAACACAAAGAAGCACAAGCAGCTACATTTCACCATTCATCATGCTCAAACCTGCCAGAACTATTTTCTGTTCTGCTTTATCTTCTGTCCTATGGCACAGACTAATCTCCACAGAAATACGGATTTCCAAGGAGAGTTCAGGATATACATGCATTTTAAAAAAATAAAGGGCACGTCCTACAGTCTCTTTTTGCTGACATATGTGAGGGATATATACCAAGAAATACGGCACACCCACACACTCTGTGGCACAGCACAAAGGCAACAAGTAACTTAGCTGCTTTTTTCCAAGTTATATTGTACAGTATCTTCTAGCTATAGGGTAGAGAACATCTACATGCAGTAAATGGGCACTCTTATTAAAATAACCTACTAAATACCTACATATCAGTGAATGTAAACCAGAGCATTACCTGGTTTTCTCCAGGGTTTATCTTCAAAAGAATCTAAATCTACTTCCAGAAGGGGCACACCATTAATGCTGCCTGGTGCATCTAGATCCACCCCTTTAACTTTTGCACCTGTGAAGAAAAGTTAGAAAGTCAGAGCCTTCTGTCTCTACCAAATAAAGAGTTTTAACAGCTGTAAAAATAGAAATAAAAAGTCAGATTTAAATTCATCAAGAAGTTTTGGAAGTGAAAATTATTTCCTTAATCCAAAACAATTAAACATTGGTTTGCATTTTTACTAATATTTACTTGTATTACTGTGCAAATTTTCTTACCAGAAGATCCATAAGCTCGTCCTCCTGTCTTAATATTGAGATTCACAGGTGCTGCTCCGTAACTTAAAGAAATTAACAAAAAACTGAATTAGACAGAGAAAACTCTTAAAACCAAAGAAAACACAAAACAAGAGTTAGCCAGATCCAGAAACAAACTGGACCCAGGCTCAATCGCCATCCTCAATCTCTAGCTTTCCAACTGGAAACACTGTAAAAGTAAAGAGATCAGCCTAGGAGGAAGAGAGTGTACCTTTCTATGCTCAGTAGCAACTTCTCCAACTAATAAACAGTTGTGAAGCAAGTCCCAGTCACTCTTCCTGAGTTGAAAGGATAAAGACCTTGATAGAAACAAGAATGGACAGAACCAGAAGAAGAGAGAAAGGAAAAATGCAGTTCATTTAGGAATACAGATGACACTCTGGGGATTAGAGTAAAAACAAAATTAAAAAGAAGAAAGGGTTTAGACAGATCCTTTTCTCTTTTCATAATTATTCCATTTAATCTGTACAGAAATGGAAAATACAAGCACTTCTCTACAATGATTGAAAGGCTGTTTGTTTCAACATGCTTCTAGCAATCACCTATCCTTATGACCAACAGAAAAGTATGTAACATTTCACTTTCTAAAAAACTTGAGAGCTTTCTTCATAAACGCACTCAGAAATCTAGATACTGAACTGATTTAACTACCTTAGGAATTACAGTATTGTTCATTTGGAACATCAGGAGCTAGCTTTCACTACCATTTGTGTGCAGTGTAGCTTATCCTCACAGGTGGTATCAACCCATAAACATAATGAGATTAGCACATAATTAGAAGGCAGTGTATAGTTTACAGCACCACTTCCATGCAGCTTTAGTTTTCATTCAAGTGCTACAACAGTACAAAACTGACACAAAACAGTTAACCTTCTGATCTGCCATGCTGTATTTGTGCATGACTGTCAAACAAATCTTACTTTTTTTTTTAACAACAGTTGGCTGCTATATGAAAAATTATTTAATCCTATAAAAGGAACTTGTTATACTGAAGTTAAAACGAACAGCAAAGTTGAGTTTATTTTACATTATTGCCCTTCCATGAACTTTCTGTCCAATTTGCCCAGAAAAAAAGGTTTGTCAGAAAACAACCATTTCTACATAAAACTTTTTACTCTAATTAGATTTAGGATCATCTGCTCATTGTTTTCAGTATTCATGGAAAGAGCACTAGCAAATCCACTGAGAATATAAATCTAATTTTGCTTTAGTCTCACAAAATTTGGGGTCACTGCCTACATCACAAGCATACTGCAAGTTATTGAAAGCAGACAAATAAAGAACTGAAAAAATTGCTTTTCTATTACATTGATTTGCCCAGTTAGTTTAGGATATGAAATACTGAAAGTTTAAAAATATTATGTTTCAAAAATGACTAAATCACCTGCATTCTACAGTTAAGAACACACTAACATACATGAGTCAGACCTACTTGCAGACCTGTCATAATTCTATTAAGAAATGACGCCCTAGTAACTCTGGTTTTAATAAGCATAAAAACAGTAGGATTGCCAAGACAAACAAGCAAACCACTTCCCTCAAAAAACTTCCATGTAATGAAAAATAGTATTTCATTAATTTGGGGTAAAATTAACACTGTTCAAAAGTGTTCAGTGAAAAACAAGCCCTTTATCAAGAGAAGGAATATAGGGCAATAACACTAACAAAAAATATTCTTATATGGTGCAAATGCCTAAACCATGATCTTGAGAAATGATCTCCAGAGACTGGCAGCTCCATCCTGAAGTATATTAAAATCTTATTTGAGAACATTAATAGGAATTGAAACTACAGAGGTCTAATTAGAACTGTATCCACTACAAACAGGATGAAGGACAAATGTTTCTAATGTCCTCTGTGCTTATCACTCTACCATTTGCAACAAAAATGTCACTGTCACAATAATGACCCTAAAAATGCTAAGTAACATAGCCATTCCATAATAAAAAACAACTCTCTAATTTACAAACTTAATACAATAATTTCTCAAAATCTGAAAACAAAATTTAACACAACAGCTCTTCAAGACATTTCATTGACTTCATTTCACTTTTTTGTTTTCAAATCACTGTATCACTAAAAAGATTGTTAAAGAGCTGAAAAAAAACCACTAAATTGAGACTAACTATGCATACAATTTGACATTGACAAGTATTAAAGAGCCTGAATTAATACTTCAATGTAAACTTGAAAGTTCCCCCAGTTAATATTTGCAAATAACTTACCTATATTGTGGAGCTCCTGTTTTAATATCCCCTATGGTGACTTGAACATCATCTTCATCATCATCGCTATCACTATCACTGTCATCCTCAGCCTCTGCCACCTTCTACGAAAGAAAAAGTCATTGCTTAGACAAAAAGCAGTCACTTACCTTTACAGTGGAAAAATAATCCAGACAAAACTATTCATTCTAGAAATCTTCGAAAGAAGAAAATTCTCCTTCTCCTAGACCTCAGAACTGAGCAGCATTAACAGTAAATTAGGAGACTTATCTACTGAAATGCTACAAGTATCTGAAACATCTGGATCAAAATAGGGAAGTATCTTTATACTAAGCTCTGTTTCTGAAACATGACATTTCCTAAATAAGCATAAACTAGGTTCCACTAATATCTTCTTCCCTCTATCTAGCTCATACACACCGGTTCTGCTCTTATCTTGTCACTCAGGAAAGAACTTAAAGATACGCAGGACTAGCTTCTTGTCAGCCTCAATTACATATCCAGAGTAACTAAAACAAATGTTTTACCAGTTGTAGATGAACACTGTTTAGGAACTGACATCAATAAACTATATAAAATACTTGAGATTTTTCAGCAAACAGGCTGAAAAAACAGGCTCAAGAGCACACTGCATGCTGTTCTGTCCCATAACATTCAAGCCTGCTGGTAAATAAAATAGTCACACCAGTTCATACCAAGAGTTGGTCAAGTCCAGTGTTTTGTGTTTGTTTGGTGTTTTGTTCTGTTTCTCCCTCCCAGAGACCACAGGGGAGAGAAAACACAGGGCAAACACATAAGGTGCTCCTCCCTAAC